CTATTTATTAATATGATAATCTCAGTAAGACTGATATAATTCTATCAAAAATAAGAACATTATAATGCATGATAATAAAAAAATTAAAAATTATTTATTCGAAAATCTTTACAAGCTAAATCATATATATTATACATTTAAATATATTAGTCATATTACAACATTTTTCACGTGATATACATATCTAAATCTTTTTCAGATTTAAATTAAAATAGTTTTTCTTAAGCTAATTTCAAGACAAATTGATCAAGAAAAGGCATCTAAGGCATTTTGAATTATCAACGAATTTTATTTGTTATTTGAAAAATTATGACTTATTTTCTTGGAAAATTAACAACAAACTTTCAAAATTTAACACATGTAAATTTATCAAACAATAATATCACCAATTTGCCAAAAAATTTTGGTACTCTGCCCTGTGTTCAATGGCTTGATCTATCACACAATCGTCTTGGAATTCGAGATCAATATAAATGGCTATGGATAGAACAATTTGCTATTCAAAAGAGTTTGATATTCCTAAATATAAGTTATAATTTAGTAAGTCACTTCATAATTAAAAGGTATCATGATACTCACTGAAAAAAGAAGATTCCGTGTTAAGCATCAAAAAATATTTAATCTACCAATATCATCATTAGTCATTTATCATTTACAGTTAAAAGAATTACCAGTATATATCGACAAATTATATACTTTACGAGAGTTAAACATTTCTCACAACATGTTGCAACGTTTACCAAACATAAAAAATTTACAAAATCTTAAAAGTTTGGACGCCTCATATAACTGGTTGTTGTATTTACCAACAACCTTGTTTGTAAATCAACGCCTACGTACCTTAGATATTTCAATGAATTCATTTTTATCCACCGATATCGTGTATCTTCAACACACTATAGGTGAATATAATGTGATACCAAGTCTCGTTGAATTGTCAGCGAATACATTGCTAAATCATAGGTTTGTTGCTATTACTTTTATTTATCATTTTCATTCGTGCGTTATTTTTATTAATTTTCTTCGATTTGAAAATATTTTTTCTTAACAAAACTATTGGTTTCGTTTAGTGGCTGCAAATTTTTTAGTTCAAACGAATTAAAAAAAAATATGCGCGAACAAAGTTTCAATGATTCAAAGATCATAAAACCACGTTCAGCTAATTTCACATTTTAATAAATTTCTAATTTAAAACTATAATTACAAACGCATGCGATCTAAAAAATTGTTATAACTATAGCAATTTCTTTCGATTTTTTGTCTTAAGAAAAAATGTATTCTAAGTTGATTAAAGATTTTATCATTAAAATAATTGAAGAAGAATAGAATCTATAGGCCCATATTCAGAACGCATTTTTATCGATAAAAACGCACTTTTATTTCTAAAATTCTATAATATGCGTAACGTAAAGTACAGTATGTTAGCTCGCTAACTACGTTGTAAACGCGTTCTGAATACGGGCTGTAATATAGAAATCTCATTTCAGACACAAAATAATAATAACTGTAATATCTTTTATAGCATAGCGTACGATGTAAATTCAATACCATATACATTAGTCGTGTATTTAAATACAGTGAAAACATGCTTCATTTGTAATAATAGAATCTGGTTCGATAAATGGTGTAAAAGGGTGTACTCAAACACAATTCTTAATAAATGTATTGAAGTCTTCAATGCAAGAGCTGGAAGAACGATACAAAATGATACAAAAGATGCCCCTGTAAAATTGGAAATATACTCTTGTCTATCTTGTTGTAATTTATATCACGCGCTTGATAAAAAGCCAAAGGAATTTGAAAATCAGGGAAATTAACATTTGCAACAGTGATGTTTCATATATATATGATCTGGAGACATGAGGTGCGTTTCACGTATGGTGCGCATGATATATCATTTCATCCTTGTTATTCACCGAATATTAAGGAAAGAAAAACGCACGGTAGTGTCTCGGTGCTAAGACGTGGCGTGAGACATTGCCGTTCTCCTTTAGCCCGGATCTACAATAGATTTTTAAGTCTTAACCCGTAAGAAATGGACGAATCACAATCAATTATTCTCCTTGCATTCGAATATAATTGGTCAATTTTTTACGGCTTAAGGCTCAAAACACCTATTGTAGATCTGAACTTACGCGAGCCGGTATTATATTACCGGAATTGATAGCGTTCAAATTTCCAGTACATCAATATACATAATTATATGATTCATCTACAGAATCTGTTTTATAATATATATACTAATAATATGCAACAATTTTCACTTGCATACAGATATTTTAATATTTATTTATTGTTAACAGATAAATACTAATCTTGACAATCGTAACGAAATATTGGATATATTCGACTCAGTATTTGGCTATTGCGATCTCACATTTTTTTATTATTATGACAGTCCTACATTGTACGAATTGTTTTATGTATTGGACTTATGTAATATATGTATACTCTCAATATAAATTTTATATTTAATTATTTAACAAGTGTACTATTTAATTATCCTCTAAAATAATTTATAAAACAATAATATATTTATTAAAATAACGACTTCTGTACACAAAATGTGGCAACGCTTGCCGCGTCTTGTGTGCAGGAGTTATAATGTTTTTTAATACAATTAAACAAGATTCTAATACTCGTAATAATCCGAAAAAAATGTTCCATATATAATTATATAAAATTCCATAAAATTATATATAATTATATAAAAAATTGACATATTTCATGTACAATGATATGTACTATATATATAAAATATAACTATATATATATATATATAACATTTTTTCCCAGGAATAGAAATTCAATATGCTAATATAAATGAGTTTATATGTACAGTAATTAAGTAAATTACTTTATATAATATTATATATATTTAAATAAAATTTTTACATATTATTTATAATGCTTTAGTAGAACATTTAAAACTCAATATTTTTATTAGCGTATTTTTTATATATTATAAATATTTATGTTTTAAATCGATACGTCTCGCTACAATTGTATATATTGAATAATTTCTATAATAAAATATTAACAACGGGCAATGAGAGCATTAATACAGCGCGGTACTTGGAGGGCAATACATATAATATATAAATTAAAAGATTCTAATTGGGCTCTACATATAATATATTCCCAATAATTTTGCATTACGTATACAAACTTCTGGATCGTTTCGGTTTCCTTCGAACCATCATCAGCAATGCCATATAATTTATTATACAAAGTTTTGCAATATCATAGTGCGCAGATGTTGCAAATAGTATCTATATTAGACAAAGAATGAGCATACATCTACTTCCGAATTATATGTCTATCTTCTGTCTAATGTAGAAACAATTTCCAATATCTACAAACTATGAATATTACAAAGATTTTGAATGGTAAATTATATGGCATTGCTGACGACGGTTGAAGGAAACCGAAACGTTCAAGAAGTTTGAATAGATACATAATGTAAAATTATTGAGAATATATTATATGTATTACGCTTCAAATTCCAATGTATTAATGCTCTCATTGTCCGTATATTATTATTAAAATATTATTATTTTTTTAGAGCCTTATTAAATATAATTTTTTTTTTAGTTTTTAAGTTATGTTTTTAGATTTTAATATTAATACTCTGATAACTAACTTATAATGTATCTTTTAACTATCTATTTATCATTTGAACCTAAATTTAACTATATATATAAAATATATAAATTTTGAAAATTAGCTAACACAATTTATAAGTCTCAAAAAAACCGAATTTTTACAAAAATAAAGGTAACGAGCGCGTTATTATTATTTTAATTTCAGTTATAATCTTTAGTTTAAAATCGACCTTTACAATATACTGTTTCACATTTGTATCAGTGTCACTCTAATATAAAACAACAAGTAATAATCAAATACGACAGTTACCTCGAGGATCCTGTCAGAACATCACCTTAACTAATTTAGAAAAGAAAACCGCACTGTTATAAATTAGGAGTTACGCAAGTCTATGGAGTACTAAATTTTTCTACAAAGGCAGCAACAAAACAAGCAAGTGGGTCATAAAAACAAGACAATAGGCAGTAGGCAGTAGACCTTTCTTTATCTAAATGTTTGATTTCCCAAACAGAACGTGAGGCACATTGGATGTAATAATTTGTAAGTGTTTCTTAAGACTAAATCACGAAAATTCATACGTCTTTTACATATATCAAATAATTAAAATCGCATAACATTTATAACTTCTTACAGAAATCTTGGAACAAATTATATATTCACGACAAAGATCTTCAAATTTTGTATATTATCAGCAACGTATATTATTAGCAACCTAAATTACCAATTTATCTGGTTCTTAGTAATATATAATTACAATATAAGACTTACATTGTCTTTGCACAATGGTGAATAATTGCTATGATACGTATATTAATAAAAACTATTTTTATTCCATATTAATCACTTCACTCGAGAAGTTAAATGTATTAGAGTTATATAATATTAAGTATGATTATTTTAAACTTGTAGCATAATGACTGCCAATTACAAATCTAATTTAAATAATTATTTTCAATACAGAGAGGTAAGAGAAAAAGCCGTGCAATTTTTGGAGATAAGCGAATTAAGAGACAACGTTTTCACTCAGAAGATTTGACAAAAATATATTTAGCACATTTGAAGTTTTGCACTCCACTGACCTTGAACTTTCTGACCTTGAATAACACTACAATGTGGCTAAATTTAACAGATGTAAACATATCAAGTAATAAAATTGATGTGTTGCCGAGAAAATTGGGCGCTTTTCATTGTCTTCGACGGCTTAATTTATCACATAATTGTTTGAGTCGATATTCTGGATGGGTATGGCTAAAAGAAGCACGCATTAAGAGAACTTTACATTTTCTAGATATAAGTAACAATTCGGTAAGTCATTATAAGATATCACGGCAATCACTAATCAAAGCGGTGTTGTCATAAATAACAATTAATAGTTCATTAATAGCACGGTCAACATGAATATCATTAATTTACAGTTGCTCGAAATATCGGAATACATTTGGAGTTTGAATGCATTAGTAGAATTGAAAATGAGTCACAACTTGTTGGGACGTTTACCACAGGGCATTGAAAAGGTTCGAAATCTTAGTATTTTGGATTTGTCGCATAACATGTTAATGTATCTACCAGCAGGGATCATTTTTTTGCGACTGCAAACTATAGATATTTCAATGAATCCATTAGTAGTCAATCCCCCAATTTTGTTTTATAAAATAATGTACCCAAGCCTTACTATGTTTGCAGCAAGGTCACTGCAGCAATATTGCAGGTACGTTGCTTTTTTTAACTTGTGTACTATAATGTAATTTCAGCATAAATAAGATATATCACACAAGTTTCTACTTATTGATAATTTATGTAATAAACTAAATCAATATTTTCACAGTGATAAACATATAATTTTTCGATGGGATAAATGGAATGAATATATAAGTAGAAATAAATTCGAGAAATGCTTCTTTTGTAGAAACATATGTACACCTTCCTACATGCACGTAGCGCAGCCATTGAAAGATATATTTGACATAACTGAAAACGTAATAACAAAGACATCAGAATTACCAGTAGTATTATGTGAATATTACGGTTGCTATCCTGAATGTAAGGAGGACTGGTATTCTAGTAACGAATCGGATACATCTCGAAATTGAGAAGACCGACATATAAATTAACATTTATTCCTAAAAATTACGTTGCAGGAATTTCGATTTTCTCATAAATGCCGATTACGTTTATATTTAGATGTGATATACAATCTAGTAGGAAATTAACGTTGACAACGAGCCTGATTTCTCCTTTACGTTAGGACTAACATTCGTAAGAATGTAATTCGAATAACAGTATCCGACAATACAATAGCATTTAATTCATTCTCTATAGCATGTATCAATTATTGATACATGATATAACGCAAATGTAAATATAATTAATTTGTATAATAATGTAATTGATTTGAGTTAATGTTTTGTACTTGCAGTCAAATCCATTCTTGATATGAAAAGTTTCAGTATGAGATGGCTGCTAAAGAACAACTTGACAAATCATATTTTATTATAAAGCACTTAAAATAATATAATATACACTATTTTGATAAAATAATGTATAATTATAATAGTAACGCCGAAGAAAACTTGTATCACAGTGATACATATTACAATATTATATAATTATATACTTTAGTATATATCATTTTTATAACAAACAAATTATTAATATATTATTGACAACAGCATTTAATTAAAAATATTTACATAAAAGTATAATTAGTCCTAGATATGTGTCTATGAATTTTTGCATATTATATGCACATGTACATTTGTATGTATTTATTCAATATATGTACTTAAAATGAATTTTTATATACATTGTAATTGTTCGAGCGATCGCGACTCAAGGCGACGGCCTCAAGCGTTGTTGCGTGTCCGTACCGACCGTGGAGTGACTCAGGACGACAGTCCCTAAGCGGTGTCACGAATCGACTCAGGACGATAGTCCCCAGGCGTTGTCGCGACTCGACTCAGGACGACAGTCCCCAGACGTTGTCGAGATCGAAGTGCGTGAACTTTAATATTTATACGGATATACGTGAAGTGACTAAATGTACCTACCGACAATTATATATTGTGACGAAATAAAAACAAATTCTTAGTATTGTGTATAACTGTATAAAAGTGATTGATTCATCCTACATCATCATAGACGCAACATAAATTTTGGTGCCTCCTGTGAGGTACGGACACGCAACAACGCTTGAGGCCGTCGCCTTGAGTCGCGATCGCTCGAACAGATCTCTTAACGCGTACTAGAGAGCAGAACTTTACCGTGGCAGTGGCACGGTCAAATTCAGAATGACGAAAAATCGTTCCTTCTCGATCATCGCACGTATCCGTCGTTGCCACCGAAATCGCCCGAAGTCCTCTAAAGGGCTCCTTTTCCGCCGATTCGTGTATTCAAAGAGGCCGCGGTACCAATAACACCGAGATATTGCGCGAATCATTTCCGCATGTGTACCCGAGAAGAAAGACGTCGGACCGCGGTTCGAGATTAAAAACGCCGAAAGTTCTTTAGTCTATACCGCCTGCTTCTAAACTTATATACCGCGATTTTCTGCTCTCTCTTTCTCTATTTTTATATGTGGTATGTCATATATGTGAGATCTCAAGAGCCGACCGTTCAACGTTTAATTTTGTCGTGCACGACCCTTTGAGCTCATATACGGAACAGTAATCATATCAACTTTCCATTTTAGTTGTCACTTTTGAAAAATGTTTTAAAGAAGGACATATTTTATATATAATTATATATATAAAATTATTACATTATTATATATAATTTTATATAAAATATGTTAAATTTATAAATAATTTTATATAATTTTATATAATTATATATACTTATATACGACACATTTTTCTCGGGATCTTTTTCTGTATATTTATTATTTAGAAACTTTTTGCTAAATTAGCGTTCACGTAATATTCACAAGTGAAATTCATATTGCGAACTGCATTCTGTATACACTT